TCCGAAATTTCAAAGCGGAATTTTTGTTGAATGGAAAGTCCCCGAAACGTCTAATTTTGATAGCCCATTAACTTATAATCTCTGTCCCGGGAATGGACCCAGTTTGGACCCTTCGAAGAGAAATTTCCTTTCTTTTGTCTGACCTTCTTAGCTCCAACGTCTCCTCGAGCGGCAAGTCCTTCGGGTCAAGATCAGACATAACACATCACACTTGATCTCTCGTAACAAAAAAGTCATATTTCCGTCTGATTTTCTTGTGCATGCCTCCTTCCTTAGCCTGCGAATACAGCCGTTTCTCCTTGCTTCTCACAAGGACCTTACGCCACGTCCCCAGCGGCGAGGAGCAAGGAGAAACGGCTGTATTCGCAGGTTACAACTTCCTGGGCCTTCTAATTCCTTTTTGACAGCCTCTTTAACGTTTTCAATGGAAACTTCGTCATCGTTGTAATAAATCCCGAAATTACGCAAGCGTCCTTCGAGAGTTCAGATGCTCAAGGCGTATTGTGGAAACTATTTTCGCAAAAGATCACTATCTCGCGTTGAAGACCTTGTTTGACGTACTTGAATATCGATTCCTTACAAGGAAGTAACAGAAACAAGGCGCTATCGGAGTGTACATTTGGGTATCATTGAATCACGCGTATTTGAGTATTTTTGGGTGTGTTAGGCACGTGTAAGTGCCGTAGCGTTGTTAATTGGTAAGGGTTGGTTGAGATGGGTTAAAAAGGACACGTGGAGTCATAGTGGACGTTGCTTGGTATGTAAATAGCTCGAATTTTCCCTCGGAATTCCAAACACAAACTGACTCAGCGAACAGCAAACGCGACGGTAGGTGAGGTAACTCGCCTGTCCAAGCATATAATCTTTCATTTTAATTTGATTACGTTTACATGATAGATTGGGTGACCCGCCAAGGCTGGTAGCCCGGTCTGCCAGACCGGGTAACCCTCTCAGCCGGGGTCAAATTTTGCCATGTAAACGCTTCAAGGTGGGGTAACCCGACTAGTCGCTGTCGGATTAGTGATATATCATATTCGTGCAAAATACACTTTGGCACACAGTGGCTTTGCATCATTATTAAAGGTAACAATAGAAAGCCATAGCACTGAAGGTTGTAGCAAGACCAGCATCTGGGTATAGAAGAGCATTAATCGCCAAAACATGTGGTTTGCCAGCATTTTTCCTGTTTACGTGCTTAGCGACCATTCAATAATCTTGAGAAAAGTGCACCCCGGGATGGCGGGGTTGTAAGATTGCATGTAAAGGATGGTTATTTTTTCACCCCACCTAAGCGGGTTACCTTACCTACATGGGGTCCCTCACCTCCAGGTACACAGGCCCTAAGAAGTGTTATGGATTGGTATCATCTCCATTTCGAATGGCAAGCGAACGCGCGAGTGAGCGACGAAGCCGTATGTGGCAGAGGAAAAGAAGAGTTCTCCTTTTCTTTCCTCGCACCTTGCTCTGGCGTGCCACTTGCACGTGACCACCCTCAGATTCATATATATCAGTGTCATTATTTGACTCGAATTATAAAGCTACATTTTTTACTTTAGCGTTTTTTAAAATTCCTGCAGTAGAAGAGTCTCGGAACGGAAAAAGAGTTTGCTAGCTGAAATCTTTGCTTGGGAGAGCCATGACTATAGGTATGCGACAAATGTTGAAAACAGCAATAAGGTGACGGGAGGAGCCAGAGGGCAAATGCTCGAATACGAACGAGTGCGCTTACGTAAAAAAGGATATCCCCAATTCAAGCGATGCATAGAAAATCATTCTGAAATGTATCAATCATGGTGGTATGTAGTGCGCACTAATTTGAGAAATTAGCATAAAGTCAGAACAGTGCTAATCGGAAAGCAGAGAATTTGGCCTGTTTGAAGGCTAGGTTAGGCTTGGGTTTTAAGGGTGTTGCAGTGAATCAATTTTAATGAAAGTTTGACACATCATTATGCACATCAGTCATATATGAACATTACGTTATGAGATTTTTATAGAATAGGTCATTTCCGAGTTCCCCCGGGCCTCTGATATGAAAATGATTTGTCATTCTCATGCGAATAAAACACATTTTCACAAGAAAGGTTTTGCATATGGCCTCATTTTAAGAGGGGGCGTTTTGGAACTCGGAAGTGGCCTAGACTATCGAGCCGTTCCTGTGATATATGAAAAAGCGTTCAAAATTTTGCACAAAGTTGCACTTGGAATGGTGTTCATAATAAAGCTAGTTTCCAAGATCGCAAAATAGGAAATACACCAAAATTTCCTAGCATGGAAATATATGATATTAGGCGGCATTATGATGATACTTTTGAGTAATTTGAGTTGTTTGGAATTTGTTTATTATTTGTTCATTTATCACTGTTTTTGAAAATATAAGGTTTGAAATTTATTTGCGTTTTATTTGAATTCAAACATACAGAATTTGCCAAACACCACACTTTTTCCTCTTTTGCTTTAAATGGGCTATAGTGATTATGATGATGATAACTTTATTTACGTCTCAAACTTCAAGCTTGGCACAAGTGCTGAAACTAATCGGGGAGACATACTATGCTACTAGCATTTAAATTTTTGGTTTGTGAATAACTTTCCGATCAAACGTTGTTAATCAATGTTGTTGTTGTTGTTGTTGTTGTCCTGACTTCATAAACAAGACTACTTAACGCCGGAACCGTTTTTGTAATTCCAAACCTGCATAGGCTTCTAGTATAGATTAAGAGAGTTTTACGGGATAGTTAGGAAACTTCCGGATTTTTTAGAGATGTGAAGGGATTTTTTAGAGAATTTGGTGAAACCGAAGATTTTTGAAGAAATTTTGGAGACATTCTGGAAAGATTTTTAAACCATTCAAAGAAATTTTTGTGGCTAAGACTAAACATCCATGTCACGGTTAAACGTATTTCTTAGTAAACAATTGCTCTCTTTCTTTCTTAACCATCCTAAAGTCGTATTATGAGGTTACGAAAGAGAAACACGGAAAAAAGGGGGAGATACGCATGTGGCGGAAAAGTGGCAACGTAAGCTTCTAGCCTTCCTGACCCATAAATTGTGGTTTATCCCTCGCCAGTAGAGGTGGGTTTTACGGCATTAACTTTGGTGAACAAACAAAATGATTATCTTTTCGAATTGTTTTAAACTTGCCGTGCAAGTTTTGTAAGTAGACCAAAAGTCATTCCTGAGTGAAAAATTAAATGCGACAGATAAAAAATGACTTTTGGTTGCAGGCGTTTCTGGGGGATTGAGGGCGAAGAGGGAAGCGAAAAGCGGAGACAAATCACTTTCTATTCACTATCGCTACGCTCAGCCGAATAGAAAATATTTCTCTTGTATGAAGAGACAAAATAACACAATGATAAATGGAGGGAGCCGCCAGCAATCGAGTTTCTTATCAGTGGCGGGTCCAGGAAGGCCCCCCCCCCTCCTCCCTTCTTTTTAGACCAAACTGGGGCCCGAAGGTCCAAATTTTTTTTTTAGACCGGGTCCCCCCTATCTCAGGGTCTGGATGACTGGGCCTCCCCTAACTGAAGGTCTGGATCCGCCATTGCTTACACCAATGATAGTTATAGCAAAAGCATCACTAAGAATATAAGGGATATATGTGAAAAACACGTCAGATACAGAGCACTAAGAAAAGCTAGATTTAAGATTCATCATAAGCGCTAACAAGATATTAACAAAGTACAAATTAACTGTAGGCATACCTATAAACCTCATACATAAGAAAACGAAAAAAGGCAAAAAGCAGCTACGAGTAAACTGGTCGGCGTCAAGTGGTGTGAAATTCACAAGGAGTGGTTTATAAAACTGAACTAAACAATGTAATCAACAACTGAAAGAAATACATTTTCCCTCCCCCCTCCACCTCCCTCTAAAACTTGCCTTCCCCTGACCCCTTAGGAAGGCCTGATAATCAGGGTACTATACAGTCATGATATCGTTAATTTTTGAAAGACAAACCCAATAAACGACGCCTCCGTGAAAGTAAAGCATAAGCGCACCGCATTAAACGTAGAGAATTCATGTTATTTGCTTGCTCTAAAAGCCAAGAATCGCTTCTTTTTTTCAACAAGAAAAATATCCAAATGTAGTTAAATATCATGCTTATCTTTTTCTTTAGGATCACTCCATCTATTTATCTTTATGCTGGGTAGGCAATATAACAAGGAAGCTGTTAGCTTATCAAAAATATTAGAATGTTGCTCAACCCAGGCAGCTCTCCTGGCAACACAGCTACTTCACACGAGCCAAATTAAATTCGAAGGCCTATCCAACGGCTTAGAGAGGCTGAATTGATGCAGACGTCGGTCTTTATCCCAGCTATTTTAAGGCCCCGGCTGTCCACACGAATCCGAGGATTTTTTTAAACCGCATATTCTTTAGCCGGATATTCGTTTGGATGAGGCCATGACCTAATCTGGAGAGTGTCTTGAACAGATGTGGTTTCGGTGAGCGGATTCAGTGGTTTCTTGTGGACAAAAGGCCGATTTGTGCGGTTTCATAAATCTCTGGATTCGTGTGAACGTGGCCTAAATTCAAATGGAGAAAAATCAAAATGCGTAAAACCATATTTAACGGAAATTTGTACATTTGGTTCCGCTTATATGAACTTCGGCGTCTGAATCAACGCCGGTCCACAGCCGTTATTCCCCGCAAAGCCAAGTGTAAAGAACGGCTGAGCCGATCCGGACTCAATTAGCTGCTTCGTATTGTTTCAGACGTCGTATCCGTACTTCTCATGAATTTACTCCATTGAATTCGATCATACGGCGCCGGTCTGAACCTGTCTTAAGACACGTGCCCAGTTTTGCTGATCTCCACGGGCAAGTGTTCTTAACAAGAAAAATCGATGTCGAAATTAGTGAAAGCCTTACGAAGAAGGGCAAAAAATAGTTACTCTTTGTCCTCAAGATTTTCTATGTTAACACAATGAGTAGCGCACTCATTACTTGAAAAGTCATGGGTAAAACAACACAGGTAAAGTAAGTACTGTTTTAAATTTATTATTGATGAATAATCCATTCGACAGCTCTTTCAAACCCATTGAGCAATGAAACTCGGCGGCAATTCAACATCCACTTGGCGGGAAAGACTCGATTTTGGCATCGATTGAAATCACGTGCAACCAGCCCGTTGTAGTCAGCCACTGACTTCCATATGCGCCTGCAATCACGTTCTTCCGGGGGCTTAGAGACCAGCACGGCCGCGCGAAGGAACTGGAGGAACTTTCCACTGTGGTCATGGTACTCCACTAAAGATTGATAAGCTCTAGAGTAGGCAATGGCGGGATTCTTAGTATCTTCAAGAACTTTTTGGCGAAAGCTGTCACCCTTCGGCATGAAGTGAGCACGTTCAAGTAGCTCTTTCTTAACATCTGTGTACACTGACCAATTTAAAAACTCTGTAATAATGACCGAGAAGGGATTACATACGTTTAAGAGTGGCTTGTAGGTATCCAGGATGCTGGGCAAGGGAACAAAGTCTGCGATGTTGGAGGTTGTCACACGGTCAAACCTGCTGCCTTGGGCAACAAACCTTGCAATCTCCATGCAGTTACACAACAGAAAGTGAAACTTGACTCGCCCAGTGGCCAACTTCAAGGCAGATTTCTTGAGCAGGTGACTTACATACTCACTATACATTTTCAGGAGCGACGCTGACTGACCCCACTGGCGTACTTCATTGTAGTCCCAGCCAGCAAATGGGAGGACAGATGACTGAATTAAGTAAGAGAAGGCGCCCTTGTTTCGGTTAAGTTGGAAATCGGAACCGGTGAGTGTAAAATTTTCTCGCAACAGTTCTTTCCGCGATTCCTTAGGTGAAAGAATTCCGTTCGCAAACCAATCAGATGCCGATTCTTTATGTTTCTTAGGAATTTCTTTCAAGTAGAGATCCATTCCCTCTTGTGCGTCAAAACTTTTAAATCGCTTGTTTCGAGCCTCTGTTATCCAGTCTTCTTGGCGTGAACTGAGATCAAGCCAGGTGCGCCACACTTCAACAAGCCTTTGAAAATGGCCCTGGTTCATCTTCATTGTTCCTTTTGTCAGTTCCTCAAGACTGGATGCCTCGACCAGCTCTTGCAACCTGGAAATCACTAGCCGATAGACCATGTCGCTGAGACGCAAAGAATACCAAATCTGCGTCACTGAACTTGCAACCTCTTCCCCTCCTACGAAAAATAAACAACGATATGTTTCCACGCCTCCAAAACTACTCTAGGTAAATCGACATACCTTTAGGCCATCATAAACTCAGCTGAGTACGGACAGGATTCTTTTTACCCTAAAGGGGGTTTTCACTGTTTATAGTTGGGGCAGCGGTTTAACCTCGTCTCCGGGGGATTCTCTCTTAGAAAATGGAAAGTATGGCGGAAAGGGAGGTTATCAAGTTTTGTTGTTGCCTAACGGGCACTGAGGGGGTCATACAGATATTGAAAATAAAGGCATTACGTCATGAAATTTGAAAATAAAGGTATTACAAAAAATGCTTCCCCCAAACTCCCTCCACCGCCCCCTGCAATCATGAATACTGAACATTGTCGTTGGGACGGCCTTCATCACTTACCTTTATAAAGAAAATAAAGAATCAGAACGGTCCTGGCGAGTGTACAGGCGCAAATGTCGTTTAAAGTGAAGGTTATTTCCTCTTTATAAGCTTCAGGAAGATCACACAGAGAACGCACAATATTTCTTGGGTCTCCAACACCGCAGGCAAGAACCGACAAAGGTTTGGAATAGTCACATCCCTCATTCAAGGGAAGATTGATAACGTCTGTGGCAGGGGTGTTCCCCCAGTAATACACAGTTCCAACCCCATGCGAGTTTGTGCTCTTCTTGAAATCGAAGATATCGTTTAACCGTTCAGATAATTCGCTGATCGTTGCTATAACCTGTCGGCAGAGATGCTTGTGCGTCGGCCAAGCTTTCTTCTGACATTCTTTATCACAGTACCACGCTTCACGACAGCCGCCACACGATTTCAACCCAATCTTCTCTTGGTTACATCCAGAGCACTTCCGCTTCAAAGCAGCCGTCTGACAATCTACTTGATGCCGAAAGTCATCACTGCCTTTGCACTTATCGCTACAATAACACGCTACACCGCATCTGCTGCAAAGGATCTTCGAAGTCGGAGTCGAACAAATAGCATCACAGCGCCAACACTGATCTCTTTTGAGCATTATACCCAGTTACTTGAAACTTCAACCCTTAAACCAGAGAGCTATGGACAATGGCCTAAACTGTAATTTAGTATGAATATATGTAAATGATGGCATTTCCGGTTCTCAGAAACACAAAATGGTTTCCGAGAAATTTTAGTATACCTTGAGGGTGCAGTAGGACCTCTAGACCCCGTGACCTTTTTGAGTAAGCAGTGAAGAGGTTTCCCAACTAGGTAACATCTTCTTCTTGTACAAGCTCGCAAAATATTGTTGAGAAGTTAAACTAAGCGGATTTATCTACCTTCTTTGTTAGTAAAATGAATTCTAGAACACAGAATACTTAAGTAGGCTACTCCACGTACTCCCTCCCCCTAGGAGATTTAACATGAATTCTCGGAAAGCAAAATATTTCTGAGAATTAGAACGGTAAATTCCGTTTAGGGAGCATCGCAGCCAAGCGGTTAGCACGCTACTCGAAGCCTCCAGATTTCAATTATTGAAATCTGAAGGCTCCGAGTTCAATTGCTGGACACCTTATCGCTAGCTGGATTTGTTCTCGGTAATCCCAAGTTTATCCCCTTGGTGACGCTTGTAAATAGCCAAATGGTTTGCCTCCAGCCTATTGGGATTCTTAACCTTGTGGGCCATAATTGGAACTTCTGGGTTACCGGCATTTATGTTATCCTTTTTTCGCCATTTACACAAATTAGTCCATTTACCAAAAATAGCGCCGTAAAGGCCGGAACCTGGTATCAAAGATGAGTTTGAACAAATGAAACGCGAATTTCCATTTGGCACATTCCGAGCGGGAAAACAAGGGTCCTTTACCGTTTACAAAAGGATTTCAGGAAATTTCGCCAGGAAAATAAACAGGGCTCGACTTTTCGCTTCTTTTCAATACAAAATTTCCAGGAGAATAAAAGGAACTTTGGTAAAGATGGTCCTAAGACTAATTGCTTGGCATGAAATAACTTTGAAGACAAACTGACACACAGGCGTTAATCGGGCATTAAACTTCATGAGTGCAATAAGGAAGTACAATATATATGCGTTATTGACCAAGCGTGAGAGTAGCCAATCAGAGCAAGAATATTCGCTTTATCGTTCCCTATTGCGAAGGAAGCCATAAAATAAACTGTGACTTCGAGTGCCACTCGTTACTTTGACATGAGCCGTTTCCGTGCTATGATTTTGATGGTATGATGACTGTTACTTGGGATATAGTGAATGTTGATGTAGTTTGGTGCAGGTTGTTGCGGACGGGTGTATTTCGCGGCAAGGTTGCCGAACGGGAGGTGGCGGGTTCATACCCTGGCCAGAGCAACACTCACGGTGTTTTTTGTTATGACTTCTACAAATGGTTAGACATTCGTGTCTTCTCGGATAAGGACGAAAAACCAAAGGCCCCGTTTCACAGCTCTTTCACTGTTCTGATTTTTTTGGGACGTAAAAGAACCGACACTGCTGTTCGTAAAGAGTAGGGTGCGTAGACCCCGGTGGTGTGGTACGACCTTAAATGGGATGGGTGGGTAATGAAGGAGTTGATATTAATAGGGGCGTAAGTCCCGTTTCATCCCCTGTCACCGTGTTGAGTCACTGTGGCGAATTTCAATAAAGTAAAGTTGGTCTAGTTTGGGCAGTTTGGTTTAATTTGCTTCAGTTTGGTATAGTTTCGTACACCAAACCACACAAAACTACACCGACGTTACGTCAAAACTACACCGTCTACACAGAACTACACCAACTAATCAACTTTATTTACCAAAGTACATTAACTACACCAAACAACACCAAGTACACCAAACTACAGCAACTACGCTAGCCCTACGTCAACTAAACTAACTACAGCAACTACATCAATAAAACTAAACTACACCAAGCACACCAAACTAACCCGATTACACCGGTCTATATCAACTACACTAACTACTTCAGAGTGATATAGTTTTTTCATATATTGCTGAATCCACAAACTCGCAAGATGAAGGGAATCCTGCGTTCTGATTGGATTCTCTAACAGTCAAATAGGCGTATCTTGCCCGCGCGGGATTTTCCGCGTTGGTCCCGTACAAACGTTTCCTTCTCAGCCATATAATAAATCCGTTATTGACCAGGCTTGTTCGGTCAAGAAGGCTGGATTCTGGCCTCTTCCGTTTTTCGGCTTGGTTAATAAATAACCAAAAGAACTTGGCCAATATCCAACAATCTTGACCTCACGCTTGGTCAATAACGCATATTAACTGGACAAGAACTCCTTTTCATTCAAAACGGTTATCATGAATCTTTTACGCAAGTTTCTTTAAGTTCTCGCCCGGCCTCCCTAGAAGTTGTCAGTGTATATGAACGAACAGACAACATTCCTGCATATTTTTCACTAGCCTGCCACGCAGACTTTCTTAAGGCTTCGTCACGCTTCCTGTCCTAGAAAATCGCACATTACAAAGGCTTCCCGTTGTTTCCTCGAATTAAAGAGCAAAATGAAAGGTTCGCAATTCTTGTATGATAAGTAACTTTTCATAAATTCAACAGGTAAATAAAACTGTCATGTTTTGTTGATAAGAGTACTGTATCTCAACATTCAATCCAATATAATCAGCGTAACAAGTCTTTTCCTTGGTCGATCTATCAGTCAATTCATCTAGAACTTAAAGTGTCTAGAGTTTTTTACATTGCTGTGAGCCCCTCTTATCGGGGAAACTCCATGCAACGCTGATTATGCTGTGATCAGCCTAATTTGTTTTAAGTTTCCATTCCAGTGCTCTCTCGTAGCCTCTCAACATGACAACTCGACGACAATTCACCGCCCATCTAAACGGAACCACTGTGTTCTCGTTTCTGACAAAGTCACGTAAATACAGCCCCAGTGAATTCACGAGAGACTTCACGGATGGAATCTTCTTTTGTTTTTTAAACAAGGTTAGCTCGTTTTCTGTACAGGAGGCTAGCAGAGATGCGCGCAGTACGAGAAGAAATTCATCTGATAGGTTGATATATTCTACAACTGTCGTAAGTCCCGATTCCTCCACAAGTTCTGGATCTTGTGTGTCTTTCAAAGCTTTTCTTAAGAGATCTTCCAATCCGTGATAATACGGCAATTGATGAACGATTTCAGGCACATAGTTACGCGGCCAGTTTTGTGTCTCAGTTACTATGACGGCATGAGGATTGGTGCTGTTTAAAAGTCTTTTGAATTTTGTCAGCACATCCTTTAGGGGATAATAGTCCCACAAGTTAGAAGTCAATACGCGATCATATCTCAAACCTTCAGGTAATAAGGTGTCGATGTTCAGAAAGTCGCACAGAATAAAATAAAACTTTACCTGACAACGGCTCATTTTGTCAGAGGATCTGTGCAGGATCTCTGACAAATATTTGGTGTACATTATCGGCAGTGATTTATCATAGCAAGTTTTCTCGGCTGCTTTGTAATCCCACGCCGTAAATGGAAGCACATCTGTAGGAATACTGTAGTAAAATTCAGAGGTTGATGAAAGTCGGTGTAAACCGCGACCCGTCAACGTAGGATTTTGTTGCGTTAATTCGTTAGACGTTTTGGTGGAGAGAAAGATGCCGGTGTCAAAGAAGTGTTGTGCAGACGCCCTGTGCACTTTGGGGATGGCATGCAGGTAATGGCTTAAACCATCTTCCCTACCTGAATCCGCCCTGATCGCCATTTTTCTGAGATCTTCTACCCAGGGTCCTCTCTGTTCTGATAAACGAAGCCACGTGGACCAAACGATCTTAAGCTGGCTCAGCTGGGAAGCAGAAATCTCCATCAAGCCATCGGTGAGGGTGCTCGGTTCAGCTGTAGCCGCAAGGTCTTGAAGTGCTAACGTCAGCAGTGTGAAGTCTTTTTTAGTTATGCGGACAGAGTACCAAATACGGACCACTGCAGAAGTGACGTCAGCTCCTCCTAAGACGGGTGAAAAGTAATTTTGAAACCCAATTTTAACTAGAGATGAAGATTTGCTGGTTAATATCGAGCACCAAGGCGGAATATTTCTCGCTAAAGGCTAGTGAAACATTTGTTTACCGTTTACGATGGTCTGTTCCAGCCTCCAAGATAGTAGTGCAGTCGTGCAGCAAAAAGTGATCCACCGCCCCCTTCCCTAGATCGCGCGCGTCTTATTTTTGCTTGGCTTGATTTATATTTGTGAGGACCCTACTATCTGAAAACCTGGCACAGGCTACGTTAACTCATGAAATTGCAAAAACTTTGTTGAGATAAACTTAGAGCTTGCTTGCAATGTGCAGACACTTTTCAGCTGTAGCCTATGAACACATCCTGGGGTAGCTAATCGAACGAAACCGAACCAAAAATCAATCGAACTCAATTGAACCCAGTCAGTTGGACTGTTGTTCGATTGGTTCGGTAATCGAACATTATCGAACTGGACCTTTTCGGTGAGCTCGATTAATCGAAATCGTGAGTTCGATAGCCGAACTCAATCAAACCAATCGAACTCAATCGACCCGATTAGTTCGATTTTGTTCGGCAGAAAGACAAAACGTATCCAGTTTAAATTGAATCGGAAATATCTCCCTGGTATGTATGTGAAGCAGTTTGAAAACAAAAATATTTCAATTAACCCGGAACTAAAATTCTTATTGTTTAAGTGTTTCAAAATCGATAAATTCACACTCGAATCAATACTGGGAACATGAACGGCACAGAAAAACCATGTGAAATGGGACTTTACCGATCGTGATGTCCTTAGGGATACCAGAAAAGTCAAACTTTCTTACATAAAGTTTCGATAATTTAAAAAGGACCACTAAATATTTCATCGACACCGACGGCGAAAGAGCACGCGTGGTAGCTTTTAACCATCGTTTCCAGAATTGTTCATTTCACGCTTTGCGCCCTCGGTGACATCTTTGCTGTTTTTGCGTACTCGTGTTTGAAATTGAAGCCAATACATACAACTAATTTGAACGCAACACCTTCTTTGAAACCAGATGAAACTGTTTTTATGTTCAATTGTTGCAGTGTTTGATTGGCAAAATTTTGGGGTGAGTTCGATAAGTTCCATTACCGAACCCAATCGAAGTCAATCAAACGATTGGCGTTCAATCGGGGTTCGATTAACGAACGTTCGATTGGCTACGCCGGGATACATTCACCATCCCCTTAATGATTAATTAAGGTATCGTATAAATAAAAAAGGAATAAATGCGTAAATTCTCAAAACAAATGAATTAACTATTATACGCAATGATGGAATTATAGATTTCAACCGCTAAGCCTCATTGAAAAAATAACTCCGTATGGCACTTACAGCTGCACTTCGTGTTTGCGTTTACGTGAAAATCACTTGATGCTGGTAAAGCAGTTAGAAAACTTTAGAAAATTTTCCCGTTGCTGGAACCCTTTTATTGATGTCCTTGCGAACCACTCAAAAAAATAATCCGATACTGTGCTTCAGGATGTCCATACACGTAAGGAGGGGACTGTAGATGCAGCGTTTGGTCTCATTAACTCCCTTACCCGCAACAAAAGAGCTCTTTCCATCTCACCGATTCAAGGTACACTACAGTCCCTTTTCACTGGATCTAAAAAATTATCCTTACGAAAACAAAAATGTCAGATCAATAAATCAAGTGTTTTTAGGAAGGAAAGCTCCAAGGGAACCCCTTTTGAAGTTAAAAGCTTGAGGTACAAAAAAGGCTTCATGCCCAGTAAAATACCGTAAATGATCGATTAAGCGCCATTACGTATACTCGAATAAGTGCCGCAGCGCTAATTTGGGTATTTACAAATTAACGCGCCACCTTTGTTACAGCGCTTGATATAAAGAGATATCAAAACCATATCGCTTGAGAAATAAGACCTCGACCAACTCCTGAGTTCTAAAGTTTAAATATGTGGAAACTTTTCAAACCTGGTTTACATAACAATTCTAGGTGTACATATTTTATACTAAATTAATTACGTACGTGCCCTATTTAATACATACTCTCTATATTCCCCTCAGTGTTTTACCCGTAGTTGAAATAAGCGCCGCACCTATAACAAAAAATGAAACGAAAAAATTAAACAAGCGCTGCAGCGCTTAATCGATCATTTACGGTATACCCTAAGCAACTTATATCTTGATAATTAAACATACCTTTATATAACATGTATAGAAGCAGAACGGTTCTGGCCAATGTGCAAGGACAGATGTCATTTAAAACAATGCTGACTTGCTGGGTATAAACATCAGGTAACGAAGCAGTTGTAAGTAGAACATTCCTTGGATCACCAACTCCGCAAAGCAACAAAGCCAGTGAATTAGAATACTCTTCTCCTTCATTCATTGACAAATTGAGCAGGTCTACAGCTGGGATATTACCCCAGTAGTAAGTAGCTCCGAGGCCTGTGTTATCTTTTTTCATCTCATGAAGCGCCTTCATTCTTTGTGCTAATTTCAATGTTTTGTCAACAGCATCGTGGCAGAACGTTTTGTGTCTTTTCCAGTCGCTTCTCTGACACTCCGTGCTGCAATAACAGGCTTTCAAACAGTTGGTACACTTCATCAGTCCCTCTTGTTCAATATCGCACGCTGAACATTGCAATTTCAACGCTGCTGTCTCGCATTCGGGTTGATGTCGCCACTTGTCTTGTTTCTGACATTCCTTGGAGCAGTAATGCGCCACTCTGCGTCGCGAACACTGTTGAGTACAGATTGCCTCGCATCGCCAGCAATGGTTGGGTTTGTTCATGATCTTTGCTGCTACGTGTTGTCTCTGGAATATAAGAGAAATTATTAGGTTACCTCGTTGCAGAGCATTGAGTCAGCAACTGCCTTCAAAGATACTCGGGAATGCAAACAAACCTATACTTCCTGCCGGCAATGGTTATCTTTTACATCGTCTTACTGGGATCGTTTCCTCAAGTTGAATCAGTTATTGGGCGTCTCAAATTACCCCGTACTTAATAGACTAATTAGCAAGATGTAGTGATTAAGACATTTGTTGCCATTAAGGATAAAGAATACACTCAATCAGATAACTTACCTTGGTATATTTATCTTTTCCTTGAATTTTAAACTTACTAAAAATAATCTGGGAGATATCGTCTTCGCGTGACCGTTATATAGCAAACCAGCTGACACCTAACCAATACTCTTCTTCTTCAAGGCTTAGTGTGCACTTCTTTTCCTCCTTCATTCGCTCATATTCTCATCACTAATAAGATGAGACATTACTAGATATTGACATTCGGTAGAAATGATGATGACGCATTTGCTATGCCACACAAATGACTTGATACTCCTAGGTCAGATGTCAGTTGTAACAGGACACCATGACATCTGATATCAAGCTACCCACGTTACCGTAGTCATCAATGCAACAACGAATTGGGAACTAGAAAGACCAAAGCCGCACTATCCCCCCCCCACATTCCGTGACAACATGTCTGATAAACATTTATCACAGGCACAGGGTCCGTTTGAGACTTTTTATAAGTCGAAGTCAAGAGGTAAATAAGGGTGATAATTCACTCGACAGAACAAAACAAAAGTGGCACAACAAAAAAGAGAGAGAGATAAACGAGCTTTCTTATCATTCTACAAAGGGATTTCCGAGAATAGAGCGGGTTTTTTCAAGAACTTGAGTTGCAGCATACATTAGCAGTGCAAGCAGACTCGAGTGGCAAAGCAATATTGTAGAAGCTATCTCATACGAGTTTATTTACAACTGGAAAGATGGCGGTTCTGTAACATCAAAAACACATTTAAATTGCACTTCTCAAAAGTATTCGGATGAGCTTTGTCTTCTCATAGAGGGAAAACTGAAGCTAATCCCCGGTGTTCGGCCTGGTGATCTTAAATGCTGAGCTCACGCAATCATGAATATATTTAAATCATCAAAAAGAGACTCTTTCATGAAAGAGACTTGGAGTGATTGGTGAACGTTTTGCCATGAAAGTATATTTCCTTGGCTGTTATCAAACTAAGATGCTTTTTATTCCCGTTGTCGCGCGATTCCGGCCAATACATCCTTCACCGTTGAAGAATTTCTCTGCCGTCCCAGACCCAGGATACTCCTTATAACAGCCTATATGGGAAAGCTGCTCCCAAAAACTGGGACCTGGTTCTGGTGAAATTTCACTCGTTGAAGAGTATGAAAGGTTAGGGAAGTGTGTCATTTTGGTCTGTAAAGGACCCAAGAAAACTATCTGGTTATTCAAAAAGTGTTTTGTTCTGATTAAAAAAAAAACAATAGACGGTGCATTTACAGCAGTTACATAGGATGCAGCGTACTAAACTAGACATATGATAGGGGGGTAGCATTTGTCAATAATAGGTATACCAACTAAAAGGGTACCTTTTCTGTCAAAAATGGTAAATAAAAAGGTTGTGGGTTTGAGCTCCGGGTGATGGATCCTCCCCCTATAAAACTTTGTTGAGTCCCCCCCCCCAGGCTACTAAGTACTTGAGTTACTTTGCATTCTTAAGCGACATGGCAGTCTTGTCCAACGGGGCATTAACAGTAGATTGCCGTTGAATTGTAATGTTTTAATCGCAACGCTGTGCTTAATGAAGGGCAGAAATGTTCTATAGCTACGCGGCGATTCTAAAAATAAGACAGGTGACCCTATGAACTACTGAATCAATTAGCATATGTTAAGAAATTCTCAGAAAACAGAATATATTGACGTCTCAGCGATCTGCTTCCGTGTTCATAGTAGTTCCTTCTCACAACAAGCATTTGTATATATCACATTAATCATTTGTATATATCACATTAATTAAGGGTGATTCAGCAGCAGCGTTGCGTAACGAACGAACTTGAAAAGACTCGATCACGAGTGAATTGCA